TAATATTGTTTTATAMYTTACAAACTATKTATTATTCAAACTTTATAGAGAATAATTAGATATCAATGTCAATGATTTGTATTTCTATAAATATTATGGAACTAAATGTATACACTATAAGATATATCCCCATATATCCCCATATATACTGATGACAAAGCGATGAAATCAAACTCACTATAAGATATATCCCTAGATATACACTAGTTCACACCTACATTTTGCACTACTGAAATCTAGGTGCGTACAAAAATAGAGCGTTAAACTATACAAAATCATAAATTGAAAAAAAAAACCATTGAATATATATGTGTATGGAAGGGGTTTAACAGTACAAAAAAAACAATGAGTTTTCAACATTGTTCAAATCTGAAATAAAAAAACTTGGAGGATATATTGGAATGAAAAATATATCATGGTGAGANTCAAACTTTATAGAGAATAATTAGATATCAATGTCAATGATTTGTATTTCTATAAATATTATGGAACTAAATGTATACACTATAAGATATATCCTCATATATACTGATGACAAAGCGATGAAATCAAACTCACTATAAGATATGTCCCTAGATATACACTAATTCACACCTACATTTTGCACTACTAAAATCTAGGTGCGTACAAAAATAGAGCGTTAAACTATACAAAATCATAAATTGAAAAAAAAATCATTGAATATATATGTGTATGGAAGGAGTTTAACAGTACAAAAAAAAACAATGAGTTTTCAACATTGTTCAAATCTGAAATAAAAAAAAAACTTGGAGGATATATTGGAATGAAAAATATATCATGGTGAGATAAACCTACTTTCCAATCGGCGAGATGAAGGAGACGACGAACGAAGACGAAGGAGCGCAAACGGCGAATGGAGACGAAGGAGTGCAGACGGCAGATGGAGACGAAGGAGCGGACGGAAATCGAACGAGAGAGGAAGAATATAGTACTGCTCCGACGATGAAGAATAATGGAGACGACGACCGGAGACGAAGAACGTTGACGAAGCCGGAGATGGAGGAACGCAGACGGTCAGAGACGAAGAAGAAAAGTTAGAGAGAAGGAGTGCAGACGGCCGGAGATGAAGGAACGCAAATGGCCGAAGACGAAGGAGCGTAGACGGCCGGAACGGAGGAGCACAACGACCGAAACAGAGCAGTCTTCGAACAAGAGAGGAAGGAAAAATCGGAGAAGGAGGGGTTTTCAAATTTTTTCAATTATGGAAGATTTTGGGAATTTGGTTAGTATTTTGGGATTTGGTATTTTTTACTTTTGGAATGTCTTAATTAGGCAAAATTTAAGGTATTTAAATTGTAACCTAACAATTTACTAATTTTAGATTTTAAAAATTAATTAATATTGAAGCATAGATACAAAAGGGTATACTAGTAAATTGGGTGATGGGTACCATCTTAAATTGAGTTGTTTCATAACAAAAGTGTAAATTTTATACATTCAATCCTTTTATGTAATTATGATCTCTAAATAGTCTATCAATGTACTAATCCTAATTTTTTGGGTTTATATATTTTAGTGAGAAGTTTAAGACCCGTTTAGTAATGTTTTCGTTTTCTGTTTCTCATTATTTTCGTTTCCTGTTTGTTGTTTCTAATTTTTTAGAACAATAAACAGGAATATTTTTTATAACCGTTTCTATTTTTTACTTCTTGAAAAAAAATAAAAACAAAAATATGTTAGATAACTATTTTATATTTCTTGTTTTTATTTTTAGTTTTTCTTTTTGAAGTACAACAACTTATGAGTATGAGGATTCTAACCAACCCACGACCTTTGAATGAGGGATATATGTCTTAACTTAGATTGGCTTTTTTTTAGTACAAATATTGTCTAAACAATTTAAGTTAGGCTTAAGTTAACATTTATTTTTATTTTTAGTTAAAAAAAATAAAATTTAGAAGATATAATATAAAATATATAACATATACTCAAAAATATATATATAATTCATTAAAAAATATGTAATTTACCATATAAATTTTTTTGATATAAAAGTCTAAATTATTAGCTTTAAATAAATAATAAATCTTACAAAATATTTTTATTTAGAAAATAAAATTTATAAAAAAAAGAATTATACAAAAAAATATAAAATATAAAACATAATGATAAAAATAAAAATTATTAAACAAAAAGAATTATAAAAGTAAAGATTACAATATATATATATATAAAGAAAAAAAATTATAAAAGAATAGAAAATATAAAAAAGAATTCATGTTTGGCGACACATGAGACTCAACCCAAAGCTGAGGGTCTACATTGTTTATTAATTGCAATATATAGTATTTATTCTAAAACCAAAAAACAAAAACGTCAAAAACAAAATTACTTTTATAATTGAACTGCTCTTATAGTTTCCAAAATTTAGTCTTTTTTTAGAAACATTTTTTAGAAATTAGAAACAGAGATGGATTACCAAACATGTTTGTTTCTAAATTTTTTAGAAACAAACAAGAAATAAGAAACGATAACGTTACCAAATGAAAACACAAAATATCGCTATATATATATATATATATATAATCTAAAGACAATTAAATAGGTATATGAAAATTAAAGAAAAATTAATCTAAAAGTCACTGTCTTCTTTGTAAAGTTACAAAGATTTAAATTCTACAAGAAGCTATCAATTTCACATTTATCACCTTCTTAAAACCACATCTAAATTCTTAACTAAATTTCAAAAACAAAACAAGCTTATACATATATCTGTTAGTCTTCAAATTTTAGTTTAGATTTTAAAAACATTTTTTAAAAGTAGATAATAAAAACAAAAAAAAAAAAAAAGAAACTAAAAATAAGCTTAATTTTCAATATAAGCTCAATTTTCAAAAAGAGAAAATTAAAAACAAAATGATTATCACACGAGACTTTAATTTTTTTTTCCTTAAAACTTGATTTGGATATCTCAATATTTTTGCTTGAACATCTTTTATATGATTCGGAATCACGATAACTATCATATTCATATAAGTCTAAATTCATGTTTACATCCATTGCAACATTCATCATTATCACTATTGATAAAAACATATTATTGTTTTATGATATGAATATTATGCAATGGGGCCTTAAGATATAATTTCTTCAAAAAAAAAAAAAGCAAATCTGATTTTCAAATCTCTGTTTGAAAGAAATTCATACATTGATCATGAAGTGTCCAAAAGCTGCGGATATTGTCGCATTAGTCAAAAACTCATGCATATATTGTCTTCATTTCCTTGAAACACTCTGAAATTCTTGTAAAAAAAAGGAACTTTTTAATGTTAATTTAGGTTAAAGAATATTTTGAAAATAACTACAAATTTTTCCATTCAAAAATTAAAGAGTTAATATTAAAATGGTAAATAACTACAACTCTTTGCGTACTTTCATGATCCATGATGTGTTCCAAACCTACATTCATTTGTTTGTTTCAAATTCACGACCCAATGCCAATTTTCGAAAAAATTATTTAACGAGACTACCACAATGTAACCGCCTTCTAGTAGTTGTTTGATATATATTTGAAATCTATCTATCCGAAATAAAATTTTTAATTTTGTCTCACACATCCAACCGTGTAGAATTGTAGAATTGCTAGCCCCAGATTGATTTTCCCCCGACTTGGAGTTGTGATGTATGATTTTTACAATATGCCGCAAGAAATGGAATTCACGATCGAACATAGAAGTCTAAACCAATTGGGCTATACTCCAGAAGATAGAAGTCTAAACCAGTTGAGTTATGGTAGACAAAACGAGATGGGAAGAAGGAAAGAATGTATGTAATTTAAAAGATTGCATTGAAATTACAACCACACCTAGAAAATAAACAAATAGATAAAATACTAATGGGAGGACAAAAAATAGTGAGGAAAATAAAATCCCACCCCTTCATTTTCTATCCCTTCCAAATATTAACCTCACATGATTGCATGTGGGACACCCAAACACCAACTTTCTGAGTCCCACATGATTAATAATGTAACAAAATTCAAGAAAAAAAATAATGCTTCATTTCGGATTTAACTGTAAAACCACAACACACCATGTGATCATTACTTTGACCCATCAACTACTTTTGTTTGACCATTCAATCAACTCTAGTTATGTCTCTCTTGATGCTTCATATTCTCTAAACCACTCAACTCAGCCATCACCACAACACCCTACATTTATCTAAATTCCTTCAAAAATGGTGTGTTTTCTTTCCTTCTGTCTATAGAATTTGCTTCCCTTTTTGGGATATGGGCTTCAACAAGTACAATGAAAGGAACAGCCATTACAAAAAACTAAAAAGAGGGAGTTTTGTTGAGTGGAATTTGATGAGGAGTCTTGGAAAAACAGAGGGAGGGAATAAAAGGTTGAGTCTTAGATCCCTTCTCTTCTAATAAGAACAAAAATGGGCAAATAATTGCATGTTTCTCTTTCCCCCTTTTGAAAATGTGGAGAAAAGAAAAAGGAACAAGAAAGGCAAAGGCAGAGCCCTTATTTCTTCAGATACTCACCCATTTCAAAGGGAAAAAGAAAAAAAGAAAATTTGTGTTTGTTTTTGTAAAGCATTTGATCTACTTGTCGAATTTGAGGTGAGACACATACCTTCCACGTCAGAAACAGCTAGCAAACTGTCTCCTTCCCACTGCTCCCACTTCCTTCCCCTTCCCCATATTGAATGGATGCCTCTGTTTCTCTCTCTACAACTCTTAACACAGAGAGAGAGAGAGGATCATATATTATAGAGCAGCAGCAGCAGCATTCAGTACAGTACATAAAGGGGCGAGTGAGTCCAATGCAAGGAAAATGATAGATCTGCATAGTGGAAAAAGCTAGAATCACCAATTTTTACACAAAGAGAGAGAGAGAGCATTTTTTTACACATGCCCATGTCTGCCAAATCAAAAATTAACCCCCCCAAATGGGCACAAATTCTGCCTCCAACACCCACAAATAAAAGCCCACCATAGCTTAATTGGAGTGGAAGATGGCCATTGATCAGTCTCCACCACCACCACCACCCCCAAGCATCATCATCAATTTCATCTCACTGCTCTTCTCAAATCTCAATCATATGTTATTTATTTAAGTATGTCATAATGCCCCACTAGAATCCCACTCCTCTCCATCTCTTTCTAGCATCTCAAACCAACCATCGCTCTCACAGACATTTTCACAAACACCTTCCCCGCACCCCCATCTGACCTCACATTAAATGGACGAGAAATGGAACCCATCAAAGAAGGAAGGTTCAGGAAGTTACCATGCTTCCACGAGCGCCAAGTCGTCGTTCACGAGGAGTGGTTCGACCTCGAAATCGCCATTGCTGCGATGCTCTTCGCAGAAAAGCTTCGCAGGTTCCAATTCGAAGAGCCCCCACGATCTCCCCCGCAGTTACTCGCAGAAGAGCTCCTCTTCAATTGGGCGCAAGTACAGCAGCTTGGCTAAGGAACAGAAGGCCCGATTCTACATCATGAGACGCTGCGTTGCCATGCTCGTCTGCTGGCACAAGCATGGCGATTCGTAACGTAAGATCCGCCCCCATTTTCCGTCGCTCCCGAGATTTGATTTCTTCCCTTTCTTAATTCGTAGTGGATCTTGAGATCCTTTGAGAAATTTATGTAAATTTTCTGCAACCCCATCTAGTGCTTTCTTCGATCCAATTAGATTCAAATTGTAATTACATTGATCATGAGTTCATGGCCTAAACGCAGAGCAGATCGATCCCCTCCGCCCACTATAATTCAATTTCCGCTTCAATTGTCTTCCTCTTTTTTAATTTTTTTATTAGACTTTTTAATTCTTTTATTCGAATTGGATTGATTTAACGGTTCCACTAAGGACATGAAAATAATTAAACTAGTTTAAGTTTAAACATAGTTTTACTTTTTAATCCCAAAATTTAATTTAGTTCCTAATTTTGTTTTTGAAAATTAGAACTTTTGAACTATTTTTAAAATTTTAATAAATTTAAAATATAAATAGTTTAAATTTTCGTTGAAAAAAAAATGACGTGGCTAGTAAATGATTGATGGGAAAAAG